TATAATTTTAAAAAAATACAACGGACTCTCCTTCCAAAACCACCAAATTTTATTTCGAAATCAATTGGTCCATCCCCGAATAAAACTATAGATTCAACAACTCATACACCAACAGAGCGTTCGGGTGATGGCCACGAGCGCCAAACAAGACTTTGCGTTTTGTTTTTGTGACTTGATTTCTATCTATTCGAAAATACACTTTGACAAAAAAAATATTTCTTTGTTGAAAATCATAGAGGAGTAAAATAATTACATAATCTTTGCATTTAATACCTGTCTGTGTACATTCACTTTGTGTTACCATTGCAGCAGCTATTAAAACTAATAAAGCGGCCATGCTTTTTCTGGAACGTCCAATGCAGGTCCTGTTTCAACCGTTCTCGGGAAACTCGACTTTTCGTGGTGACAAAAGCAGCTTACTGAAATTCCAGTAATGTTCCAGAATAAAATCACGAATAACTAATATTAATAACAACTTACGCGTTTGCGTAAAGGTAAAGACAAGGTAGTTTCGTTAACCGACTAAGAAACCCAACTTTCCAGTCCCTCAACACCTTTGACGAACTGCCCATTAACCAAAAAGTTGTCTACTATGGATGTGCGCCCCCAGCGATCCAGAAACTTAGTTAGACCCGCCTCTTTCTCTGTTTCTGCACGATGGCCGCGTGCAGTAAGTCGAGAAATAAATCCAGAATTTATTTTCTGGTGATGGTGTGCATACATCAATTGAACGAACGATTTTCGCTTACAGTTAAGATTTTCTCTGAAACTGAGTTATGTTAAAAACAATAATATTTCGCACAATAGAAAAGAAATACAGCAAATTCATTATGAAGAAAAGGAAAAACATTTTGTATCGGTTTGCTGCCAAAAGACAATTCGTACTCGGGCTACATTTATTTACTGGTGCCTCAAAAGCGCGCGCACGTACGCATTAGCGCTGTGGCTTCTGCGTGCCCACACATCTCACCCTCAGACACGCTTTTGAAGGACCACAGCAATACTTTTGCTAGCCCAGAGGTGTACAACATGCCCGAGTTGTTTTACTCCAGGTCACATTATTCTAAAAAAATAATGGAATGAAAATTTAGCTTTTTCAGATAAACCTGGACGTGAACATTGTTACTATGTAGCACCAATATAACAGGCAACCTGTGAATATTATTTCCATTGTGGAAGTAAAAGTGATGCAAATAAAATAAGTATCAAATTATTTACCGTTTATATTCTCAACATTGTTACATTGTACTATTTACACTTTGATCATTTATAAATAGCAAACGAAATACAAAAACCACTGTAATATTAAAGCCGATGTCTGGAAGGCGATACATCGTTTGACGTGTGATGTCACCGACAATGTAGCTTTGGCGGGAATTCCCTTTTCTTACTGCGCCCTCTATTTAGGCAACACGGAATCTATTTGTTGTTGAATCGTAAAGGTATTGTTTTCATTCGCACCTACCGGTATAGTATGTTCTGATCAGGCTTTGATGAACGTAAATTAACTGCATAAATTATATGTTAGTATCTAGAATGCTTTTGAAATATAAAATCTGAAAAATTCTGTGGGAAAGCTAGATATTGAAACTGAGAGTGGATTTTTTTTCAAATATTGTATTGATATTTGCAAAACAACATGCTTTTACATTCAGAAACCATATATTGCAAATATATTTTTTTCATCACAAAATTCTCCAACTTTCAGGGCAGCAATGTATACCAATAAAAACACACCTACTAGAGGGTTGACCAACAGAAAACCGATGAGTTGAACTTAGTTGATGCAAATCGATTTTTTCCCTTCAGTTAATTATTATTGAGTTAGATTATTTTACTTCTCTCTGCCAAAGTGCTTTTTTATACATTTATTTCTGTAATTCTTCCCGTAAATTTTTGCTTTAATGGGATCCCCCACCCCCAGGGTTTCTAAAGAATTAAATTAAAAAGATTTTTTTTTTATTTGAAGGTAATACACTTGTAACCAAGTTTTAGTGATAATCAACTAAACCATTGCCATCTATCATCAAGATGGTTTATTGTTTCTCCACTAATGCATGTGGCAAAGCAAGCATAGGTCCTTGCATCAGGAATATTTGTTCTCTACTCTCACAACATGGAAGCCCAAAACAAATACAACTAAACAAACACATTTCATTCATGGTATTTTAGGTTTTATTGGAATAGAGTGAATAACAAAAAAAATATTCTACAAACATTAAATTCAAGTAAAAACAGGCTGACAACAATGTTATATACATTCATGTGAGTGAAATATTCAATTCTGAATCATTATTTTATGTACAGTAATACAACTTGCTCTTTTTTTTGTTTACTCTTTTTTTTTTGTCAACAACAAATAACTTATTGATCTAGCCTGTTTCAAACTGGTTATTTCTCAACACAAATGAATAAAGATAAGTGAAATGAATAAAGATAAGTGAAACACTGAAAAACGTCACAATCGTGTAGCATGAGTGTGTTCAGATTTTATACGTATATGAATATGTCTCACATTAGACTTGACTAGTCACATGACTAGTCACATGACTGTGATGCTTTAATTGTATCATATGAGAATTGATTGCGTAATGTTACAACGGGTCATAACCAACCATACAACATCACATGCAGTATAATAATTTGTTATTTTTACAAATGTTGTGAAATTATACATACATGACAATGACACTTACACATTCATTAAAGTGGAACCGGCATCTAAACAAACAGTGATTCATCATAATCAGATCGTTGTTTCTTTCAAGCGGGATCCAATATAGGTTCTGGACTAAGAAATGTATAAACCAGGAGTACTTTCATAACAGGCCAGAGCTGTAATAATTATAGATCATTACTGAAGAAATCCAGGAAGGTAGCAGCACTGTGAGTTGGTTTAGAAAGCTATTGAATAAGTGTTTCATTGCTGACAATACTGAACTACCGGTATGATGATATAGCTATCAGCTATAGATTTTCGGGACCAGCAAAGAGAAAAAAAAAGTTTGGAACAGGCTAGGAATTGCCATATAAGTCTCTCCATGTTTGTTTTAACTGCTTTCAAGTCTTATAATATCCTGCTTATTTCTTTGGAGCAATAATGCCTTCCAGTTGTGTCTGAAATGTAAAATAAAATAAAAATATTTTAAAACATCAATTCCACTTACACAATACTACTGGTATTACTAGAGAGTAATTGTCCATTTTAAGGAACCATTCATTCAGTGAGTCATTTGTCTAATTCTAATGTGTACAGTAGACAATGTTTATTTGGTATTCTATGCCAGAAATGTGGAATCAGTACTTAAAATGTTGTGGCTACTGTAGTCCACAGTTTTGTATTGTATTTTTTTGCTACTTAGCTTCTAATTGATAATGTATCCAACTTACAAATGGTTACTGCTTTCACTGAATGGTGTGAGACTAATATGATGTCAAAGGTCATTTATAGTATGTTTTGTAGTTTGTGCAGCATAATATTACATGCCTCTTAGACAATATAAATTAAAATTACTCTCTAAAACAATCACAGGCGGTTAGTAAACTAAACTTTAATTTGTGATTCAATGTTCCTTCCTAGCAAAAATGTTGTACAAGTTCCAATGGATAGACAATAGCCTGGAAGTTTCTATTCTAAAAAATCAATCAAATTTGTATATAATAAATGAATTTAAGAAAATCTTGAGAGTACAGATTGAATTTTTCAGTATCTGCATTCATAATGATGAGACTTATATAAACCTTACCTTCAATTGTTGGTTAGTTCTTTTCAAGAACTGAATTTCTTCAGCATGTTTCTTTTCTTCAACCTGTCTACGTTCAGCTTCTCTCTTTTCTATCGCTTCACATTTTGCTTTTAGTTCATTCACTTGGCGCTCCAAATCTTTCTTGTCTTGTTCTAATTCACTAATCTACACAGAGGAATTAAAAGACAAATATATCAGATATGTATTGCCAAAGTAATGGCAAATAAGTTCAGAGCTCAAAATTACATATAGCACTGTTAGGTCATTAGGTTTAGTTGGCATGAAAAAAAAAACTGTGATCACAAAAAAATAAATATATTTGTGAAGGACAAACATAGCTTTTAAAGAAAACTGTCGGTATATAAAAAAGTACAATTTTGTGGTAAATTTCTAGTAGTCTTGTTGGGCTACTCATTATGAAAAATCATAGCCCAAGGACAAGATTTGGTAGATGCCTTTTGCTACTGTTAGTTTTCAGACTAAAACTTTCCATTGGCAGATTACTATATACTAGTGAAAGCAACATAGCATAATATCGGTCAAATCAAAGTGGAGATTACAACTCACCTTTTTCTCCATATCTGCCTTTCCTTGTTCAGCTTGTAGGGCTTTACGCATACCAAATGCAACACTGCTCTCATAGAGGGTTTGATAGGCAGCAATGGTCATCCTAATTTCATCACGAACTCTCAATAATAACAAGCCACGTTCTGCACAGTTGATTGTAACTTGACGAATAAGTTCATCTGTTAAAAATAATGAGATTCCATGTTACGATAAAGGAAAGAGAAACTTCTCAAAACAGAGATTTTCGTCAGGGTCACAACAGGTGGTTGAACAAAATTATAAATGTTATATCTAGATATATTTAAATAATGTTTTAAAAATACATAAATCAAAAATATTTTCAAAATTCCACCAAAAAAGAGGAAACTTATTCGATGTGTAGTCAATACCGGTAGATGTTAAAATGCGCTATGCAGAAATCTGATCACAGGGATTTCAATTGCAATTTTTACCACATTTCTAACTCACCAAAACATTGTGAATAAAGTTCTCTCCTAACTGGACAGATACCAGTTTCTCTTGCTTGACGTTGCTGTAATCTTTGGTCAAGTTGTTCTTGTAAGTTGACTACATCAAGACGTGTGGCTGGAGTGCTTGAGACTTGCTGTACCCACAATTGACCGTTCTCTGTCCATTCTCTATACAAATTTAAAAAAGAGCATTAATGATAAGATCACATATACAACTAAATAATGAATTGAACATAACAGTCATGATAAAATCATTTAAGTTGCAATTGTCTGCATTGTAAATCATGAGAAAATTGGTGGAAGCTAATATATATAGAACATTGCAGTATGCAACCATAGTCCTTAGTAACTATTGAATATAACTGGATATTTTGGGCAGTGGTCCTCCATCAGTAGTAGCTGAATATATATAACATGTATAACTACTATAACATTAGAACCTACCATTTTCTATACATAACACTGTGACCATGATCAAGACAGATTATTAAAAACATTATAACAAGTCAAAGCTTCAAACATACGTTTCATTATTACAATTTTTATAAATATTTAATACTTCAAACTGAAACAAGAAGTTTCATTGAATTTTACAAATATTTATAAAAATACATGAGTTTGTTGTGTTGATTATAGGAATAATTTAACTGATGCTGTCAGAATTCAACTGAACAACACAACACTACAACAAGTAGAGATACTCAATGAGAGGTAATAAGTTTTGTTGTTTACCTTGGTGGCAGGATTGAATTCAAGATTTCATCTGTTTGTTGTGCTTTCTGTGCGTCCATTGGAGGTAATTTTGCTCCCTTTGGGGGTGGATTTGGAACAGGACCTGCATTTGCTGGTTGTTGTGGACTGACTTTCAAAGCACGAGCCTGTAAAAAACAAGTTGTATAAATATGAATCTTCCAATAAAAATATTATTGTGATTTTCTTTGATTAAAAAAACTCACCTAAATAGAAACAAAATGAACTGGAGGCAACATACATAATTTTATCAGGGTTTAATACACACAATGTATACTGGTAATACACATACTAACATACCAATTTCCAATTCCGGAATTACCAACTGAAGCAATATAATTCTATTTGTTTCAATCAATGATTTGATTGAAATCACGTTTACATATTACATTATAACCTTAAAAAAAACAGTCTCACTCAAACATGTCCAAAGAAACACTGTCTTCAATGTAACTTTCGGTCGTTGGTTAGAATTATTACTCACTTGACATGCACCACATTTGTCACTGTTCAATGCATGAATATTGTAAGTTCTCCAAAATAGCTGCCCCCAAAATAAATTGCTGTCAATCATCTTAAAATGATGTGTTCTGTGTTATGAACAAATTCTGTTCAAGCTCACAAAAACATGGTTGATGAAATATGTATATGTACTATGTGTGCATTTGTAACTAATAATTGTTTTTAGCTCAACAACCATAGAAAAAAAGTGTCCGAAAACAGTGTTGCATGAAATTTAAGAATTACAAGAAGTTAGGGACTATTCTTCTAAGTGTATTTCTTCACTGGTTGCTTATCACTAATTCAAATAACTTTTTATTAAAAAACTATTGAGAAATCTAGAAAACTGTATCGTTCACTCATTGTTGTTTTACCAACGTAAAACTTGTAGTCTTGTGCCATGAACCCCCATAGTAAAACACAACACAAGAAAATGTCCACGAGCTTGAATATATATAATGAACTACTCTTATTTGCCAGATACAGTTTATTTTTCAATCACTTTTATCTGAGAACACATAAAGAACGATCAACAATTATCTAAAATCTAATAAGAGGTCGTTCTCGTGAACTCGCAGTGACTTGAAGTTGATCAAACAACATTTACATAGCAACTTACCCTCGGTGTTTTTTTGTCGGTATTCCTGCTAACGAGCACTGGATTGTCGTATTTCACGAGCGATGCGTTGGGAGGAATCATGTTGTCCGAGCAAAATCACAAAAAACAACCTAAAATATATAACAGGGTGAAAATAGAGAACGAACTAGCGCACTTCCAACAGCAAGGTTGTTGTCAAATATCAGCTTCCATGGAAACTGCTCAAAACGCATGCGCACAAAATAACTCCCACAATGCCCCTTTAAAGGCTTGTCCAAGTTTTCTATAAAATGCACTCTGGCTGTCTTTTCTTGAATTGGAGAACCAATTACTGAACATGAAATTTTGTTTGATACAAATCGCTTTGGACCATCTATATAATATATAAAAATGTGTTAGAAGATGTAATTTTCTCGTATTTTCATGTAAAAAAAGATTTGTAAAGTTTTATATAAGTTAGGGGTTCTTTTTTCAGCGAAATACAAAATGGCGTCCTCCGCAAACTCGAATTTCTCGACTTGGGAAGGTTTGTAAAATATTCTATTCTTAACGTTAAACTTATTGTAAAGTGGTTAGTATCCAATACACATGTTATAGTACATGTATTGATGTTCTGTGGATTTTAAATTGTAAATCTATTGATCAATTTCGGTCCATATTTTACGACCGGTCATCGCGATCGGCAACATTTTTACTGGTTTGGAACACATGCGCTTTGTTGTTATCACTCAGAATCTACATCTGTGGAACGATGAAGTGTTCGCCTCACGTGTATATATTTTGTTTCAGAGGTCAGAGATCAGCTTCGAAAATTTCGCGAAGATAATGTGAGGTGTAGTGAAGAGGTGGTTGAAATAGCAGACAGCTTACTTGCTGATCATGCTAACAAATTAGGCGATGAAGGTGAGTAAGAACACTGTCAGTGTAAGTGGAAATACCGATACACCGTTAACAACATCCTTATAAATTTGTAAATTACTGTACTTAAAAACATTTATAAAATATTTAAAATGACCGTTCCAATAGTTTTAAAGGTGTGAGCATATTTATGGAAAATTTATATGATGTATATCATTGTCTTTGCCTACGCCCATTATACAAGAGTCTCTGCATTACTCCCTTAAACACACAGCTGATTTTTACATGATAAGAATCGAATTATTCGTTTCGAGAAATATTTTTTCATAGTACACAGTGGCCAGTATGACTGATAGGATTTAGCAGAAAAAAATTTGCTTAGTCATTTTAAGTCAAAATATTGCTTAGAAATAATAATAATTTCCCAAATGTCTCTACTAAGTTATTTGTCAGTTCAGTGTAAAGTGAGTAGAAATATCTAAAGGTAGTATGGAGTCCTACAGTTTTGTAATTCTCAGTAAAACGCCGCCTTTTCACCAAAAATTGTCAATGGCAGTTTCCCACAACCACTTTTCAGCTCATTTTGCCAACCGTAGGTATTTGTACACGCATGCAACATGTGCATATACGTCAAATCTGTCAACTAATGAAAGTTGTTGATTTTGTTCAATATCGGTAAAAACTTGTAGTCTGTCATTTTAAATATAAACTCACATGTATAATAACTAACTGATTCGCAGTACTCATTTTAACATATATCAGCAACATGATTTTCAGTTTAGCAGGGGTCGAAATACTCTGGTGCACACTGCACTATGCACATAGATTATTAGATAGTGCAAGTAAACTCAAAATATAATGTGCAAGCTGTGCATGTAGAAATTAACATTTTCTCATTATATTCACTAAGCCTAAATTAAGTTCAACCAATATTGTAAGATAACTCAGAAAAAAGCAAATTCTTTCGTGATCGCATCTGTCGAGAACCCGTAAATTTTATTAAAACTTTAAAAGTGGTGCATTTCACAACAAGTTAGTGCAGGTAAATTTCAAATTCAACATGCACACTGTGCATGCAGGGAAAACATTCTATTTCAATTTCTGGTTTAGCAAGTAGTTTTGATAACTTTTATAAGTAGATGTAGTGTATGATGGTTCTACAATACTGTATTTGCTCTACTGTAAAATATTTTATTTTCGCTATTTTCGTTGAAGTCATGATTCAGTGAAAATAAAATCCAGTGAATATACCTTTTTTCCCATATTCTACATTCAACCCGCCAAAAGTCAGTGAAATCAAATTCCATGCAAAGCACCCAAAATATCTTTTCAGCGAAAATTAGTTCCAGCTAAAATATTTCACAGTATTTGTTGTGCATGTGTTTATGTAAATAGAGAATGTGAGTCTATGATGTAATATTTTAATTACCCAGCATTCAATACCCTGGTATATGCTATTTTTATCTTGTGCGTTTAGCACCCTTGTAGTTTTGTAAAAGTTGCATTATCATGAATGTCATCAAATATTTTCTTTTTCAGCCTGGATAGTATATGAGCAATTATTTATTGCATCCCTAGACATTGGTAAGATAGATGTAGCATCAGCTTGTATCCGAGAGTTAAATATACAATTTCCTAATAGTATCAGAGTTCGAAAATTAATGGGAATGAGATATGAAGCATTACAGAAGTAAGTACATGTAGTTATTCTATCAGAAGCATACTGTAAATCACTTAATTTTCATAAGAAACAAATTTCATGCATTCTGAGAGTCGGTGACAATCATGAAATTACTCTACGAAACAGATTGTCAATGAATCACAAAATATTGTCTTAATGACTGTCATAAAATCTTGAAATGAATTTTTATCAGTGAAAATTAACTGGTTTACAGTATCTCAAATGCTAAATATATGAACCATATTTGTTCTCTCAGAATCGCATCAGAAAGTTTCTTTTGTAACCACAACATCAACCCCCTCTAAAATTGGGAGATATTATAATTGAAATTTAGTCTTTCAGATTGGTACGAACCAATTTTAAAAGGTATATATAAATTTATTATAAACTTAATATATGCTTACATGAATATCTCATTTAGGGTTTCACATTGTTGTTACAATGTAAACTCTTAAAACATATAGTGGATTTGGATTTGACATATTTCAATTCTGTTGTGTAAGGGCAATCTGATTAAAATAAGATTCTAGTTTGGGATATTTTTTATAAATATAATTTATATTTCTTTTTTTTTTATATTTATTATTTTATTTCGTTTGCAGATAGTTTTATTTATTTATTATTATTTATTTATTTGCTGGAATTTTTTTTAATCGAGAAGCCCATACTAAAATCTTATTTTAATCAGATTGGTATGAGGGTTTCTTTAGTACCATTCTCAACTATTTTTCTAAAAATATTGCACCTGATTCTTGACCAATTCACCCAATTTGCATTGATAATTCTGCCCCTATTATATTTGTGTTTGCTATTAATTTCATTTTTGCTTGGAAGCTGCTCAAGTTTTGCAACAAGAATACTTTGTCTAATTTGATTTAAAATAATTATGTTCACTTTATCTAATCTGGAGTCGGTATTTATACTTGACAGATATGATGAAGCACTTAACATATATGAAGATATACTGGAAGAAGACGAATCAAACTCAGTAAGTTGTACAACACTAGAGGGCAGTATGCACCAAATATCCAAATTTATCAACTGTTGCAATAAGTTGTTCAGGTTACTTACACATATACATGGTGTAAGATGCACAATGCAATGATACATAGACACATTATTTATCTGTTTTTTTTTTTTAAAAGGTTGTTAGGAAAAGATATGTAGCTATTCACAAGGCAAGACGGAACATCCCAGCAGCAATTAAACTTCTTAATGACCATGTCAAAAAGTAAGTTAGGGAAGAGTAGGAAATCAAACTCGCGGTTTACCGCGGTCATTACCGCGGTGGTGGTGGGTGCTCGCCGGTCGACCGCATTTTATGCAAATTTATGCATAGATTCCATGACCCCGGTTTACCGCGGTCGTGTGCGGTAGGCTCGCATGGCAATTTA